AAAAGCTGGAAAATGAATTAAATGATCTTGTACAGAATTATTTATGTTAATCTGAACTGTGGTTTATCATTTAAGTCGCAAAAGGTCAAAGTTTAAAACAAAGCATTATGTGCTGACTTCAAGTATTGTAATCACGTATGCTAGCTAACAATTCCACATTAAACCCAAATAAGAACAAAATGATTATGTTCATTGATTTAATTATGAAAATGTACTTTGCACAGAGAGTGAGTCTGGCTGTCCAACGAGGCAACGTAGCCAGTATCTTGGGGACTGTGCCTCCTTCAAGCGCGTTGGAAGATCTGTTCTACTGTGTGGGTTGAGTTATGTTAAATTATTTTGATTTGACTTTTTGTTAATAAACGAGATTTAAAAAAAAAAAAAAAAAAATTTAGAATTTTTATTCTAAAATATTGTATGTAAATAAACATATATGCAACAAAATCAAGATAAGATTAAAAACTATAGCCTAGACGTCGAGACTTCAATAAAAAAAGGATATAAATCATAAAGATTCGTATTTCGGAATATAAAGTAAAATGATTAACATTTTATGTCGCTATGTCTGTATCGATTGGCGAATAGGCGAAAGTGGATGGGAAGAGCCATTAGATGATATTTATTGTTGGCATAAATTCTAAAATGATGGAAATCCAAGCTCGTGGCTCATCCGGCTTTATATGGATACCGAACGCCGTTAAAACCACACAAAAATAAAATAAATCATAGTTTAAAAATCTAACAATATACGCTTTTATAGAAAATCCATGCATACAAATAAGTAGTTATTATTATACCATGCACCCCATGCTTTTTTACTATAAAATCACTTTTTCTTACACTATTTTTAATTCAAATTTATTTGCAATTTTTTAGTTGCATTTTCTATAAAAGCGTATTTTGTTAGTTTTTTTAAACTATTATTTATTTTTCATTTTTTAGTTGAATTTAAATTTTTTTAATTTTTTTTTAATATTGAATTGTCATCGGTCCTTAATAAGTATACCAAATTTCGAGTTAATCCGACGTTTTGAAGGGGGTCAAAATCATGTTCAAAGATTCCGTTACAAACATACATACGTCTGAAGCTAATAAAAGCGTATTAAAAATAACAAATAAGATTAAATTATTATAACTTCATTTTCAATTGTCAATTCTTAATTTTACTATAACTAATATAATAAGCCACAGCTCGCGTACAAATGATACAGAACACAACCGATTCTGGCGGTGTCAAGATGATATTATTAAGCTTGATGCGGTCATCCTGTCATCGGTGTTAAAAGACCTGTTCCAAACATTTCCTCGAGTATAATTATCACCTTGGCAGGAAAAATGGTGACAACCGTGAATAGTTGATATTCATCGGGAAGGTCACGTGAGAATTACACGAAGTCACAATCCTATACGTTCAGATCCGCACCAAAATGGACACTTCAATGTGATATTCTGCCGCTAGTAACACAAGAAGCTTCTGAAAAGTGTCGCTGTAATAAAATAACACTTGAAGAGAAAATTACTATACCTTCAATTTGAATCGGGAACATTTACACACAAATACTCGTCTACATAAGTTTTTTTTTTCTTAAATAAACCCCGCATTAATTTCTTTAAAATTAATTCTGCTATATTTTTGCTGTGTTGTAATCATAATATTAGTATTCATATAATTTTATTGAAACATCACATTATAAATCAAAAGTGGCAGGTCACTCGTAATTAGACAAAATCAAATTCGTGCAAATTAAAATAAGTTAAATGTTCATAACAGCTGTAACAATCGTAAACCTTTCTAAATTTATTTTTTAATATTAAGTACGTATTTCTTTATAATTATATATAATTTGTAAACCATTTTGATTCCTGAAACAAGCTGTCTTTCCGTTTACAGGATGGCTCCAATATTCTATTGTATTATGTAATTTGTCTTAGAACGAAACAAAGAATTATTATTATAATTTAACTGTAATCTTAATTTATACGTTAACTTTCGGTTTCTCGATGCGATGTGTTTACGCAAATTAAAAACTAGCTACTAAAACCAGTTTTTAAAAATAAAAACGAAATTTTATCACTAAGTTCTTTAATGTATTGTCAATCGTCTAAAACTTGTACTATGCACACTTAAAGCATCTGAAATGATAATTCGAGGGGTGAACGACTGACTGGTGCAACTTTACATGAGAAGCATTTAAACATTAAAATTTGGAAAAAATATTATAACAAAAAAATCTTCTTCAACTATATCCATGGAGTAAATTTAATTGAAGTTCAATTAAAAACATCGGACTGTTGATGCGAATACCAAATAAAACGCACCTTTAATTACAAAGATAATTGTTGCGTATTAAGCGGAATATCGCTTAAAACAAATAGCCTTTCACCCCTCGATATAATGAAAAGAAAAACCATTAATGAAGAGAGAGGAACCTCTCCAAACATTATTATAACACATTTATTATAAAAATACTTGACCAATTTACCGAGTCCGGTACAGTTTGTCTTAATAATTTAAGAGACAACACACTTTTTTAGCAGTTCTAATGAACAATGTTTAAATGAATACTATATAAATATTACTAATGACATGCAATTTCTAGCTATGAAGCCCTTCAAAGAGAAATCCCGTAAAACAATGTAGTATAGGTATGTATTAAATATATTTAACTACGTAAAATTGAGCACTTAAACGCTTGAGAATTGAAACGCTAAATAGTTATTCTGTAATAATATAACATCATTACTAAAAAGAACAGAGACGTATTTAAGATAGATGCTACAACATACATATGAGGCCATCAGCGTAAAAGTGGCCTAACCCACAATTTTTCAAAATTGATGTATTTCTTTTATTTGTAATTGCAATTTATTTGAAACAAAACAAATTTTGACGCAAAACCGGCCCATTCCTAGTTTCAGCGATAGATAACAGATGGCTTTGTAAACATTATTTTCGCGCGTATTGTTTTTTTTTTTTTAGGTGTGCGCCTACGAGCCTGTGTAAAAGTAAATTTAAACCTCGATATCTCCATACTAACTATGGTAAGCTTAGGCCACTTTTACACTGACGGCCTCATATGTCTTCTTGAGTTCTTTGGAATAAACACGACAAAATAATAAACACGACTTTTTATTTGACAAAACATTAAATAATTTTCCTGTTATTAAGAGTAAAAGATATAGATTTGCGTAGAACAGTAATAATGAAGACTTTCAGCCGAATATTATAATACAGCGTAGGTACAAATTATTTTATATCTTATCATAATAATGTTTGCACTTAAATTACTAGAACAAAGAAACAATTTAATGAATATTAGTAATAGATACAGATAGATAGAAAAGGCACCATCGTAAACGTATTAGAGATTGCGGTAGTATTAAAATTTGAATAAGCTTTCGGTAGGCAGCGGCTTGGCTCTGCCCCTGGCATTGCTGAAGTCCATGGGCGACGGTAACCATTCACCATCAGGTGGGTCGTAAGCTCGTCTGCCTACAAGGGCAATACAAAAAAAAAAGGCTAAATGTGAGAATATTCTTTGAAATTATCGAGTTTTCTCTGTATATGTATATTGTATTATGACGCTAAACAAGTTGTGGCTTTATAATAACATAATTGTTCGGGACTAAGTTTCTCAATATTTTAATAGAACAAGCGACTTTAGAAATCTTTACCGTCTTTTATTTGTAGCCTTTGACTCTGAAGATATGTAACTATTGGTTTTAAATTGTATGTTTTTTAATTAAAGTGTACAATTGTACAAAAAATAATTAATAATGAAAACGGAAGTTTCAAGGAAACCGTGTGTGGAAATTCCGCATAATTCGGATTGTCGTTGGTCTCTCCAGCTTAGATACCTCGATGGATAGCTTAGCTTTTGCTGTTCTTCATGTAATTGAAAAACATTTAGCCATTGACATGAAAAAATCGATATCGGTTTTATAAGTTCTACCAAAATTTAACTCTGTACGTATTCGATATTATTATAAGAAAATTATTTACTCATGGCAAGCAATCCCACATAGAGCCGAAAATTCAATTGTATTTTATAGCCTAATAATACCTGGGCGCAGTTTACAATAAATTTGATTATGTCATTCTTATTTGGTCATAATCGTTTTATGATTGGTAATTGGTCATGATATTCATCATTGTACTCTAAAAGCATAAACCTCATATGGATTTATTCTTTAAATTAAAAATGAGTAATTTTAAATAGGTTTGTTTTTTAAAACAGTCATCGCCTTTTCAAACTGTTTGTTTTGATTAGCGAAAGACAAAAATTTGTTCAAACTAAATGGCGACACTGATGATTTTGATCCATCCATATATAAAGCTGAATTAGCCCAATTTTCCTTAAATTATTAATGATGAATAAATAATGATTGATTACTGTTTTATTTTCTTCGATAATACAATGCTACATTCTAAAGTATTGAATCAATTTCTGAACGAACGCTTCACAGGCTTACAAAGCGATAATTCTTTTCTGAAAAGGTGGTGTAAAAAAAAAAAAATATCTGTCTGGTCACAAACAATACAGTTATCCTTGAACTTGATCTCGTAAAAACTGTATTGCCTATTGCGTTACAAAAACATTAAGTTTTGCTATTATAAATCTTTTCACGTGAGCCGGAATTCTCTCGAATTATTCGAAAAAAAGTTTCATTGTTACACGATTTACGTCGTTTGCGAGATTTGCTTGTAAGTGTTGTTCTTTTTTTTTTGCGAACTGTTTAACTTCTTTTTATATAAATCATTTACACAATGAATACGATACGAAGGATTTGTTTGTAAATAGTCTAGTTCGTTTTTTTTTTTTTTGTTTTTTTATTGCTTCGATGGGTGGACGAGCTCACAGCCCACCTGGTGTTCAGTGGTTACTGGAGCCCATAGACATCACAACGTAAATGCGCCACCCACCTTGAGATATAAGTTGTAAGGTCTCAGTATAGTTACAACGGCTGCCCCACCCTTCAAACCGAAACGCATTACTGCTTCACGGCAGAAATAGGCAGGGTGGTGGTACCCACCCGCGCGGACTCACAAAAGGTCCTACCACCAGTAAGTCACGCTGTTCGTGTAACACGGGAAAGTCAAGTCAGAACAAACTAATATTTTATAATGCACTAGTAACATTTGTAAGACTTCATTAGAAATGCATCATTAATAAACACGTAAATAAATTCTAAAAGATACAAATTGTAAGTGGATAAGGTTTTTTATTCTTGTGAAAGAATACATAAATTTTTCCTCTATGTTTATAAATGAAAGTTACTTATCAACTTGTTATTGTTAACTACTTATCTAACGTAGGTATTTGTGCATTTAATAAACATTTAATTAAAAACATTTCGATTTGAATATTCAGTACATTTACAAAAACTGGATATGTGGAGTGACGATCGACAATCTGGGAAAAATACGGCAAGGCGGCCTATATTTTCAGGTTACATCTTATAAAAGAAAATATATATCGATGTGGTGTGTTGCTACCGGAACCAAAAAGACATCAACTCTTAAAACAGCTATCATAATTCGAGGCTGACTGCCTTCTACGTACATAAAGCCAAATAACAATGAACAAGAAACGTTAAAAACACCCAAAACTAACACAGAAAATTTAGTCGAGTTTCAAGTCAGAGAAAGAGATCTAATTAAGTTGTATCAACATGCTACTTCAACATCTTATACTACACTATATACAAGTGATTTCTTTTCAATTTCACATTTTTCTGACAGAATGTCTTATTTCAAAATAAATCGACTTTTGCATTAAATTTATTATTATAATCATACAGCAGGTATGTCCGTACTGCTGTTGCTTGGTTTGAAATAAGCACTCGTTACGAATATATTGTACAAAATGGGAGCTCACTTTTTATTTACTTTGTTCAGCTGCTAAGAAATATTATTTAGTAATGTCTCCGGTTTCCTTGACCGCGGCGAGAGATGTTTAACATTTTTATCCATTGACTTATGTCAAACTGTCTTTGACACTAAATGTCAAATGTCATTAAGCCGAGTGATTGTTGTAATTTGGAAAAACAACAAAATGGAAAAATAAAATAGAGCTTTGTAACTGTTTTTTTTTTGTAAAATCAACTAACTACACACTTCTGTTAAAGTTTTTAATAGTAAAAATACATAGAAGATAAATTGTTAACTTGCAGATGATCGCTTTTTTAAACAATCGGTTTTAAAGCACCTAGCCCATTGAATATAAAAGATATAGTATATAAAAGATTATTATAATATTTTAAAAGCAACAATATACTTTAGATATGGATAACATTTTTCAAATATATTTGTTCGTAGGACCGCTTTTTTTAGTCATCAATTCTTAGCTTTTTTTTTTCATCAATTGCCAAAAACAAGCAGCAGTTTTAGAACCAGGCGACTCTTAAGATGTTCCCCCAGGCTCCGTTGCAAAAACAACGGAGTGAATATTAAAATCCCTACTCACAACTCTTTTAAGCTCAATCTTCCCTTCCCCTACTGAGGCTGAATCTTCTATGGAACTTGAACGTTTTCTTCTTTTCTTGTTTTTCCTCGGACTTCCCCTCCGTCAAGCTGTCGGCAGATTTCGCAACTTGCACGCTTTTCCGTCGATTCTTCATCGTTTTCACCAGCCTGTAGAACTTTCCTTTCTTCTTTGTGGGATCTTGAGCGGGGTCCGGTACGTCCTCTTCAACTTCCACACTGAACTCTGACGATAAGTCCCCGAGATCTTCGATGCTGTGGCTCTCCGCTTCGCTGTGCTGCGGTACGTCTAGTTTTGTTTTGGATGTATCGGGTTTTGGATTTTCAGGAGGCGGTGGCGCATCAGGATCTACACACTGAAATGTAGACAAATAAAAAAGTGTAATTTTACGTAACTCAACAGGTTTTTTTTCAGTATGTTAGTATCAAAAAGCATGAATTATTACTTTATGTAGTGTTCGCTAAATGATTATATTTATGATCGAATTTTGATCATAAACTTTGACACCTGTAGACATCCAGACTTAGTTTCATTATAGTTATTTAGTTTTACACTTTTGTTTTTATTTTATTGCTCACAGCCCACCTGGTGTTAAGTGGTTACTGGAGCCCATAAACACCCACAACGTAAATGCGCCGCCCACCTTGAGATATAAGTTCTAAAGTCTCAGTATAGTTACAACGGCTGCCCCACCCTTAAACCGAAACGCATTATTGCTTCACGGCAGAAATAGGCGGGGTGGTGGTACCTACCCGTGCGGACTCACAAGAGGTCCTACCATCCCTAAAAGTGGTTTGCTAATGGTATCTATCTCGCTATAGTGGTTTCTACTAGGCTATAGAAATAAAATGAACTACAAACTTCATCAGTAAAAGCAAACATCTCTTTCGTTTCACTAATAGCTATTAAAAATGTATTTTCTCATACTCAGTTCAGTGTTAACAAATATTGCATAAGAGACTTTATAGCACCGTATGTGCGATAGATGACATAATATATATACAAATGAACTATAACTAGATTACTTTATATCGTGTTTATACTGAAAATTATGGAATGCATTAACACCTTAACATGGTAGAAACGAAATCTAATACGCCTCATAGTTACATATCTCCTGTGTGGCAGAGCTGAGAAAGACCTAGACTTCTCTGTCGTGTAGAAGCTGTTCCCTCACTTTAATTCGATGTAAGGGAAAGAGATGGATGAATATCTAACAGTTTCTAAAAGAAAACCCGCTGTGAACGTTTTAAAGATGTGTCGTTTGATGGCATGGAATATTCAATAATGCAATATGTTTTTCAAATTCACCGCGCAATTTTTCTGATTGTACTACTGACGACATCTATGAACGTGTAGATGAACGAACCTTCCTAACAAAGATGCATGACTGTCTAGAATTAATCGAATGATAAACCGTCGAACGTCGCCCAAAGCACGTCATTACGGATCCTCCTGATCCATTAACGGTGCTTTTAGGCACCACAAGCACCGGTCACCGTCCTCGTCGAACCCGTCGCTTGCGACGATGGGCTCGACGAGCGAATTAACCCACAGACACAGCCCACTGTGCTTCTCGCCGGATCTTCTCAGTGGGTCGCGTTTCCGATCCGGTGGTAGATTCTGCGAAGCACTCCGGTTTGAGCCCCGTGAGCTCACCTACACACATTAGGGTGAAGCTGAAATAGCCTCTCAAGGTTATCAGCATAGACAGGAAAAAAAAATCTAGAATTGTGAAGGCTTATTGGTTCGTTATATTGATCTCCTTACTCCAACAAATCTTGCTTCAGGCATATACCATAAAATAATTAAAAGTAATTTCGCGTTTGTTTATGTCCGACCTTTCGTCTTCGCGAACAGAACGACTCTGGTCATCCGTGGCCACGAGATGGTATCTTACAACTAATCTTAATTACGTCTACGATTTGCGTACGTCAAATAAAATCCCATACCTTCTGATATTATGCTAAAATTAAAGTAAATACAAGCGGCAAATAAAATCTCGATCCGTATTAGTATGGATGACAGTGGAATGAGATAATATTTTTTTCCTACCTAATCTGATAGCCTTGAGAGGCGATTTCAGCGTAACCTTAACTAGTAGGTGAGCTCACAGGGCTCAAACCGGAGTGATGCTAACACTGACCCTAGCAAGAGCAGTGCTTCGCAGAATCTACCACCGGATCGGAAACGCGACCCACTGAGAAGATCCGGCGAGAAACTCAGTGGGCTGTGTCTATGGGTTAATTCGCTCGTCGTGCCCTTCGTCGCAAACGACGGGTTCGACGAGGACGGTGACCGGTGCTTGGGGTACCTAAAAGTACCGTTAATGGATCGAGAGGATCCGTAATGACGTGTTTTGGGCGACAAGATAACAATGCTATATCCTAAATACAGCTATACGGCTTTATGTAATTTATATTGACAAGTCATTCAACACACTGCTAGCTAAGGTTAGCTACTATCTGATTTTTTTATTGGTTAAAGAGGTGGACAAGCTAACAGCCCACCTGGTGTTAAAGGGTACGGGAGCCCATTGACATCAACAACGTAAATGCCATCGCTCACCATGACACTTCGGTTATGAGTCTCAGTTTTACGCATTACTGCTTCACGGTAGAAATAGGCATAGAACGGTGGAACTACCCCTGCGTGCTCACAAGACACCCTTCTTCTTTGTATCCTCCTTATCCCACTAGGTGGGGTCGGCACAGCGAATTTTTCTATTCCATTCTCCTCCATCAACCGTTATCTCAACATTAACTCCTCTTACTCTCATATCGTCAGTCACACACTCCATCCATGTCTTCGACCTCTGCCCCCTCTACCGTGCACTACCATTTCCATACATCTCCTAGTCATATGCGTCTCCTCACTACGCATCACGTGTCCATACCACGCTAACCGTCCACTCTTTAATTTATTAATAACTGGGGCTCCTTTCACACTTCCTCACAAGACACCTTAATAGCAGTAAAAATAGTGTTCTTTGTTTAGTACATACCTATTGTCAAAGCTTAGTATTTCTTATCAATAGTAAAATTGGAAACAGTAATTTTTTATATTTCTAAAAAAGCGCTACGTTAACAAAAAAATTATGAATATGTTATTGTTGTTTCGTTATTTAATAAAAAATATATATTTATGTTGTACTAAGGCTTGGGTTTATTGATAGTAATAATAACATTTAAGTGAACTGAAGTATCGGGTAGGTATTATTATTATTTTTTTTTTTTTTTATTGCCTAGGTGTGTGGACGAGCTCACAGCCCACCTGGTGTTAAGTGGTTACTGGAACCCATAGACATCTACAATGTAAATGCGCCACACACCTTGAGATATAAGTTCTAAGGTCTCAGTATAGTTACAACGGTTGCCCCGCCTTTCAAACCGAAACGCATTACTGCTTCACGGCAGAAATAGGCGTGGCGGTGGTACCTACCCGTGCGGACTCACAAGAGGTCCTACTACCAGTATTAGCGGTTGACAGGCCGTAACCAAAGTGAATTTGTTGCAATAAAACACAAATTTTTTTTTTTAGGTAATCATGAAAGAAATAACAATTTGTTATTAAGTATATTTAAACTTAAAATTGGTATCAGACACTTCATACAAGAGCCAAACAGTAAATAATACGAAGAATTTCTTCTAAGCTTGAAATGTTAAACAGTGAAACTCGAGATGCGAAACGGGAAGCTCGCTAAAAGCATTCGAGCTTTGCCCGAAAGCTACAACAGCTGTGCTCCGTGAATAAGCTTTATTGTTTTAAAAGCAACTATGAACGAATGCTCTGCGGAGAGCAAAGTTTGAGATTTCCAAAAATGTTCTCAGCGCATCTGTTTGGAGTACCTAATGTTATGGAAAACGATACGAAAATCTTACTATGGGAATGTCGTGTTTGCATTTCACTACATAATTTTGAGTTTAATTCTCGTGCATTCTAGTCTGAAGGGTACAGTCTGTACTGTACGTTACTGTACAGTCTATATAGAATATATTCGGTAAGTAGCCGTAAATCTTGGGTAGGCACTTAACACCAGATGGGTCGTGAGATCCTTTACATATTTAGTTAAAAAAAATATGTTTTAATCGGACCACGAGTAAGACTAAAATGCATTTATCAATTTTAATTTAAAGCTGTGTGTGCTATTTATTTAATTTTCATGATATGAACGATAGCTGCGTATAAGCGTCGGCTGTCTTTATGCGAGTAGTACTGTTGTTACTGGTGGTAGGTCCTCTTGTGAGTCCGCGCGGATGGGTACCACCACCCTGCCTATTTGGGCCGTGAAGCAGTAATGCGTTTCGGTTTGAAAGGTGGGGCAGCCGTTGTAACTATACTTGAGACCTTAGAACTTATATCTCAAGGTGGGTGGCGCATTTACGTTATTGATGCCTATGGGCTCCAGTAACCACATAACACCAGGTGTGCTGTGAGCTCGTCCACCCATCTAAGTAATAAAAAATAAAAAAAAATATTAACAAAAACTCAAAGCTACATTTAAAATACCCACATCATCCAAGGATATTCTGTAAGGCGGTACTTGCTCCGGGTGCCTCCAGGGTTTGTGGTAGGGGTAGTCGGTGAGGGCTTTCCATCCAGGATACCTTCGAGCCGCTGCGTGTAATTGCTGCACTAATCTCGGAGCTAACTGGGCTGTTACTCTGAACAAAAACAAAAAAAAACACTTTAAAAGGTTTGGTTAACTAGATTTTAATTATTAAAACTCGATCACTTAAAATATGTCTGTGTTGCGGTGAAAATAAAAAAAAATGGCGGGTAGCCATCACAGAACACAAGATATTTGACAGGAGACTTTTTGGCGGGAACGCAAGGAGTGAAGTTGTGTGATTTGTTCTAATTTTGTCTATTTAGTGTTTCTTCAGATTAAAATGTGTAATAACGGTGGTTTACTAACTGTTTAATATCTGTGAAAGTGCACAAATGTGAGAAAATGAAACAAAGCCGCTGGACGTAACTTGTCGGGATCCTCCAAAAAGTCCACTGTAAATATCTCAGTAAATGACCGTCATTTTACTGAGATTATATTTCATCCCATATCATCTCATCTCAGTATTGATTTGAAAAATATTCAGATTTAAGGGAAATGTATTTTCATAAATTTTCACGAATCCTTTACCTGTTAACAAGCCATGCCGGAAGGGCTCCCCTGGGATCCGACCGTGACACGTACCCCAGCCAACTTCCGACGCCCTCCCGGCTCCTCACCACGAACCCGGTCAAGAGTGATAAGGCTCTAAAGTAAAAAAAAATACACAAATGTATAATCAACATACTTTTTTCTCATTTGGTATACAAGTCGAGAATACTTCAAATGAGTCGACTATTATCAAAGCCGGCAATCTGACTTTTGGACAATGATTGGTAAATCAGAAAAACGAATTATTGACTTTGTATTCCATTGGCAGTCACAAAACTCTTCGGAACGACATCTTAGATAAATAACAGGTTAACTATTAACCTTTATTTAATGCAGGTTTTGAACCGTATTCTTTGAAGGAGACGATAATATTCAAATCAATCTGTATTGACATATCAATAATTTTTTTTTGTCCAAATGCACAGATTGCCACCTTTGATAATAGACGACTCAAATGTCCTTGAAATCAGAAAGGTTTGATAAAAGTGACGGACATAAAAATCGAATTCGCTACAAAAAAAATTAAATTTGCGATGTGTATTAACGCTAGTCAGTCAAAAGTCCACTTCGATAAAACGGCACGACACGAGAACCCTCTCATCGTGGCCGCCGGTAACTACATTCCCGATCCTGCGGAAAGAATGGAAAGCAGTTGACGTCGCCCAAAACACGTCCTCTCGGATCCTCCTGATCCACTGACGGTGCTTCGAGGTACTTCAAGCACCGGTCACCGTTCTCGTCGAACCCGTCGCTTGCGACGAAGGGCTCGAGGAGTAAATTAACTCTCAGACACAGCCCACTGAGTTTCTCGCCGGATCTTCTCAGTGGGTCGCGTTTCCGATCCGGGGGTAGATTCTGCGAAGCACGACTCTTGCTAGGGTTCGTGTTAGCATCGTCGTCAGGTTTGAGCCCCGTGAGCTTACCTACTAGTTACGGTTACGCTGGAATAGCCCCTCTAGACTACCAGCTTAGGTAGGAAAAAAAATAAAAAGTCTAAAGTGTACCCTCTACAATATTAAATGACCCCTAATCAATTCTAACGTCCCCACAAATACTGATCATTTGTCGACAAACATCATCGAAGAAATCATTTGAATTCACCTTTTTCCCTCTGCATATTGAAAACCGTGATTCGTTCATACGGTTAAAATATTGTGCAAACAAAATTGATTGTACTTCCAATAACACGGTTTCATTGTATTACCCCTACCATTGTTCCCAAATAGTAGCAAACTTTTCTTTTTCCTTGTTTATTGCTAAGATGTGGACGAGCCCACGGCCCGCCTGCTGTTCACTGACCGCCGGAGAACATAGACATAAACCACCTCCACCCCACTTACGACAATTAAACCGAAACGCATTACAGCTTCACGGCATAAATATGCAGGGTAGTGGTACCCACTCGTATGGGCTCACATGACGCCGTATAATCAGCCATTACGCAAATTATAATTTTTGCGATTTCGATTTTTATTACACGATGTGATTCCTTCACCTTGGAAGTCATTCGTGAGCAATTGTGGCGTACGTATTTTATTAGAAAAATTGGTACCTGCCTGCGGGATTCGAACACTGGTACAATCGCATCGCTCGATACGAATGCACCGGCCGTTTTATCCTCTAGGCCACGATAACTTCTTTTCTTAGGTTGCTTTGTTTATTGCATATCTGTGTTGCCCTCCAGCGTTACCCTCAATGCTATCATTCGAACCAGACCATATGACTTCGAAGCCGAAATAACAAACTTGAACAAGGATTTTGTCGAATTACACCAATTAAAGTGCAAACTTATATGTTCATGTGAATAATCATTAAACGCCATAGAAGATTCTAGACTGAATATCACGGGGACATTGTCTAATTTAGAAAATGACTTCCTTCCTTCCAACTTTCATTATACAGGGTGGGCCAGAAAGGCGTGCGAATTTCAAAATCACATTACTCGCGACAGGAAAGCGGGAGCGGGGTGCGGGTAGTGGGGATAGGTTCCTTGGTTCTCGGAAATTCAGTTGCCATGGAGCGTTTTACCGGTTAACAGCGTGCTTTTTGTGTGAAAGCGTATTACAAAAATGGCGATTCGGGCACTATTGCGCGGCGTTTATTTCGTTCTAAGTTTAATTTACATGATTTAAACCAATGTCCGAGTGAAAGTGTGATTAGATCATGTGTCAGAAAGTTTGAGTCTTCGGGTTCGACATTCCATGGAGCAAAATATGTTTTGTACTGATAAGTTTTAGATTTTNAACAGCGTGCTTTTTGTGTGAAAGCGTATTACAAAAATGGCGATTCGGGCACTATTGCGCGGCGTTTATTTCGTTCTAAGTTTAATTTACATGATTTAAACCAATGTCCGAGTGAAAGTGTGATTAGATCATGTGTCAGAAAGTTTGAGTCTTCGGGTTCGACATTCCATGGAGCAAAATATGTTTTGTACTGATAAGTTTTAGATTTTTAATACTTAATACGAAACTAATTACTGAACTCAAGCGCTGCCCAAAGACAGTAATATTCACTTTGATATCAACGCAAAAATATTATTTAATATGAGTTTTTACAATTTATTTATATCAGTCAGCAAAGTGCAGGGTAAATAATCGTAGTTGCAATAAGAACTATTTATACATAAAAATACATACATACTATATATAAATACATGTATTTACATAAAGATAATAAACTCACGAAAATCCTTATCAAAATATTAATTATACAATTCTTATTCATTTTACTCCCGATTAATTCGTCTTCGTTTTTACTTTTTGAGGAATGCACTAAATACAGCATACTGTGTTGTACAGAGCTATATTTATAGTAGAGATAATAAATTATTTATATAAGGATAATAGGTATATATTTTTTCTGTACCTATCAGTTTCAATAGCTTATGCTCAAACTGTGTTATGAAATACTAAGCACAAATAATCACAATAGTCTCAAATCCCTTAACAAAAAATGTGAAAAGAAATAAATACAATACACAATGTTTCGAGAGATCTGTGTAGTGTATGTTTATAAAAGTCTATGTGTGTGTATACATATTGTTACGCCGGTAAGAGTAACGCCATCTATCGCCGAATACTCGAACGAATATCAAAGGATCCTACCATCATCTAGAACGCTCGAGAAGTACAACGCCATCTATTGTCAGATAGCGGATTCTCAAAAATTCTAGGGATGTGGTATCGACTATAAAAGCGTTGCAGAGAATCAGTTAGTAATCGGAACTAGTCGAAGCGAAATAGCAAACGGATTACCTGAACCGAAGCGGAAGAAGCGAATTGAGAATTTTAAAGTGTTTTAAGTGTTCTAAGTGTTGAATACAGTTTTAATTTATATTTCGTTGGAATTTTATTCATCCCGAACCCCAGCGCGTAACAATATGTTCACTATAGACTCCGAAACGGCTAAAGCGGTTTCGAGGAAGTTTTCAGTAGATCTTCGGATTATTAAAGCGGGTGGTTCTGTGAAGTTTGGTTATGATCGGATCAAACTCAAATCAAAGGTCGGCCAGCAAATCTTGTTGGCGGTTTGGTTTATTGAAAATATACCAGTGTGCTTAGTGTGAGTTTTTAACGTTCTCTATAGCGTAAAAGTTATTCATTCATTCATTATCATTCTTTGACAATTCAATCACCGTCCAGGCGGTTCGATTGTGGAATGTTCTGCCTGATGCAGTGAGAAGTGCTCCAACTTTAAACTGTTTTAAAAAAATGGTGAAGGAACACTAATTATCTGCTTAGTGCTGTTTGTTTGCATCATTATCATTTTCCATACTGTTGATTTATTATGTGTATATAAGTATGTATATTGGTATATAAATCAGTTAGATATATATTTCATATTATATGTAAGCGGTATATATCTGTTTATTGCATGTATATATTTTCTATAATAATGTATTGTCTATAGTACATCGCAACATACCTGCTATGTTTTTATATTTTCCAGAATTTCTGTAAATTAAACGGATGCCTGGAAGAAATCGCTTTTAGCGATAATACTGCCTATTGTACAAATGTATCTGCTTTCTGACTGTTTTTTGAATGTAAATTGTGTTTTGATGTGCAATAAAGTCTATTCTCTCTCTCTTTCTCTCCCTAAAAGTTAACTCAAAGTATGCAGTTGGAACAACGCCCCTAACGCCAAACGTAGGCAAACNATTTCTGTAAATTAAACGGATGCCTGGAAGAAATCGCTTTTAGCGATAATACTGCCTATTGTACAAATGTATCTGCTTTCTGACTGTTTTTTGAATGTAAATTGTGTTTTGATGTGCAATAAAGTCTATTCTCTCTCTCTTTCTCTCCCTAAAAGTTAACTCAAAGTATGCAGTTGGAACAACGCCCCTAACGCCAAACGTAGGCAAACCTTACCTTACCTTACTTACCTTACTCCATACAAATTTAAGTTAACTTTTACGCTATCGAGAACGTTAAAAAACTCGCACTAAGCACACAGTAGCACATTAGTAAGGGACGCACAGAAGGTCGTCACTCCGTCACGGATTGACGCGCGTTGTCTAATCTTATCAGTTGAGTGGCGAACGCAAATTATGTAAATACATCTAATGAGTCGACGCCGTCCCCTCACACCCACGGGATCCTGTTTACCATCGTCAGATTTATGAACGGGAAACATTTACTTTTGAAGGAGAACAGGGTCAAGGGAAATTATATCGTTATTGTTGTAAATAGTCAAGGCTTGTTATCAGCTCACTCCTTCAAGGTAATCATTGTATATGCAGTTGTTTCGTAAGGCTAGTACACGGAAACCACTACCGTGCTTTGTCTGGTAAGCAGCCAACACCCGTGTAACGCAAAGCTAGTGCATAGAAGTTTTACTGATAGTAGGACCTCTTTCTTTTGAGTCCGCACGGGTAGGTACCACCGCCCTGCTTATTTCTGCCGTGAAGCAGTAATGCGTTTCGGTTTGAAGGTTGGGGCAGCCTAAATAAATCGACAATAAAACGTTTTGATGTTACGTACAAATGCTGACAGCGAGGACTTTGACCAGAGGATAATCTTACGATGATAATCGCATGTCTGGTTATAACCGGTACAAAAGTCCGGCGCTCTTTTACTGATGCTTTAAATTGCCTTTAACTCATTCTCAGTGGCAGTATTCTTTTTTTTATTGACCTTGTAAGCAGATGAGCATACGACCCACCTGATGGTGAGTGGTTATCGTCGCCCACGGACTTCAGCAAGGTCTGGGGCAGAGCCAAGCCACTGCCTAAGTACTCTCCACAAGCCTCGTTTGAAGAAGGACATGTCATAGCGCTCGGGAAACACAGTGGAGGGGAGCTCATTCCAAAGCCGGATGGTACGTGGAAAAAAATATCTGGAAACGCACTGTGGATGAACGCAGTAGCTCCAGGTAGTATGGATGAACTCTTCTCCGGTGGCGGGCGGTGCAAGGTAATAACGAGATGATGGTATCATCTCAAACAATTTCTCAGAGCACTCCCCATGGAACATACGGTACAAAATACAGATGGAACCGAAGTCCCTCCGCCGACCCAGAGGTACCAAACTATCCGTAACGTCAAATAGTTTACGCTTTGAAACGCTTCACGAAAAGCTCCCAGAGCACTTGAGGGCTTACGGCCACGCCTTCGGAATTAAGTTCGCTCTTTGAGGCTTTCATTTCGCTGAATTTTCTTTTAGACTTAAAACAATAATTTACTATGGTGAAATGTTTCGAATGAATCCTTTAAGATTTTTTTTGTAATTTTATAATTTATCAAAACACGACATTGAATGTTAAATTCTTAGTTAACATAGTATACATTTATATTAAAATAAATTAGTGTGAATTATCATAGCATGTCTGTTAGTGTATTTTTTTATTGTATGTATGGATGGACGAGCTCACAGCCCACCTAGTGTTAAGTGGTTAACGGAGCCCATAGACATCTACAACGTAAATGCCGCCATCAACTTTGAGATATGAATTCTAAGATCTGTATATTTACAACGGCTGCCCCATCCTTCAAATCGAAACGCATTACTGTTTTACGGCAGAAATAGGCGGGGTGGTGGTACCTACCCGTGCGGACTCACAAGAGGTCCTACCACCAGTAAATTTCTGAAAACATAAAATTTTAATAGAATATATAAACCTTTAGAAATGTATTTCTTTTATTACTGTCTATCACCACTTCTTTACTAAGGACTTAGCGAAAGTATCAAACAGTTCCATCACGCGGCTGTTCCCGTCAGGTCTACCGTAGAGCCCTACACATTGCGGTATCTCTTCAACATCTATATATAATATTAATATAAACACTATAACACAGCAATTTCAATCGGTGTTAACAATTTCTTACCTTATTTTCCAAACCATCCTGTTTCCTGTCCTAACTTATCAGTTCAAGGCCTGCCTTTCCATTAATTGTGTAGACCAGACCGACCAATGATAAAGTAGTGAACCGAATCAATAAAGAGCATACAAGATAACAAAAAAAGCACATACTATGTATCACTACATAGTATAAAACAAAGTCGCTTTCTCTGTCCTTATATCTATATGTCCCTATGTATGCTTAAATCATTAAAACTACGCAACGGATTTTGATGCGGTTTTTTTTAATAGATAGAGTGATTGAAGAGGAAGGTTTATATGTATAATAACATCCATTAAATAGTGGATAAATCAATAATAAATTACAGTTTCCGAAGTGAAGTGAGGGCGGCTCGCAAAAAAAAAAAAAAATAGTGTGTCATAATTCAATGTATGTATAATGTAATTACGCTTAAATAGAATAAATACCTCACAAATCCTTTTCTAGGCGGAAAATCTTTGTGATAGACTGAATGGTTGAGGATCATCTTCTCATCACCCGTATCCAGCCAGGAGCGTTGCAGCACGAAATCCCGATTCTTGAGTGGCGCCGGACACGACACTGCGGATAAAATGATTTGCTTTTTGAGAAAAATATATTAAGACAAGATTTCTTGACAACATTTTCTAATTAGCCCGTAAGCCCGAAAAATGTAAAGTATGGAAAACACCGGATTAATAGTAACACAGCTAACTTTTAAACACAGCGAAACACGTTGCTATTTTAACAATTTAACTAATAACACGATCAATCGATTTTTACTGTAAACGCGCTTGTAAATTTAAACTTTAAAAACTTAATCTTAGTGTCGATATTGTGATAAGATTTTTTATTGATATTTTTTTTTCTTTTTTTTTTACTTATTGCAGGCACAACAGCAGATCTCTATCATTCTATTTTTAATACACTTTATGTTTTTGAATATTGGCGGACCTGAAGAACTTAGCACATATATATTAATACTAGTATATACTTGAAGAAAGACATGTTACAGCAATCGGGAAGCATCTACGAGTTTAAGACAATTTTATTCCGTCCCATCCTGACACATGCGATAGAACAATAAATAAAAACCTAAACAAACAAAGCTGACCGAATTTCGCTTTGTCATACAATCAAGGATGATGCTGTGCCTAAATGACAATCCGTAAACCCATCGTTATTTTAATACTAAAGATTTCTTTTGTGTTATTTTCTTTAACAAAAGTCAGGTAAATGGGAAAATGTTACAAGGCAGACCGTTAATGCATTGTGAATTATTGAAAGCTTCTTTCACGGACGTCCCACGCCCGAGTGTCGTCCGTGACTATAAAATAAAATTTAAATAGTAAATTTAATAAATAGAAGTTTCAAATGAATGAATCGTACCGTTGTTTCAAATGAACTGTAAATCACTACATAGTTTAAAACAATGTCGCTTTCTCTGTCCCTGTATCCCTATGTATGCTTATATCTTTAAATCTACGCAACGGATTTTGATGCGATTTTTAATATATAGAGTGATTGAAGAGGAAGGTTTATATGTAGAATAACATCCATTAAATAGTGGAGAAATCAATAATAAATTACAGTTTCCGAAGCGAAGCGAGGACGGGTCGCTAGTCTATATTTATAAAATGAATTGCTGTTCGTTAGTCTCGCTAAAACTCTAGAACGGCTGGACCGATTTGGCTAATTTTGGTCTTGAATTATTCGTGGAAGTTCAGGGAAGGTTTAAAACATGAGAAAATATAAAAAAGCTCGGAATTATATAAAAACAAACAATTTCGTTTTTCCTTTGATGTGGCCCCTTGATGTGTCTTTTATTTATCGATTGAGGCACTACGAAGTCTGCCGGGTCAGCTAGTTATGAATATTAGTTTGTGTCCAAAAATGCTTGACGCTTTAAGAATGACATCAAAAAACGTCAATTTGAGCGGTAAAAACTAAATACTAAATCAGAACGGGACAGATAACAAACAATTCGAGTCACGGCGACGCAATTCCTTAAATCTCGTTCCACGTTCGTGTTGCTTAAAATACGAAGTACGGGAATCGAAAATAATATCATCGAACAATAAGCTATTTAAGAAACTCTCTCTCAGTATAGCGATAATATATTTCGAGACATGTTATTATTATTTTTTTTTATTGTCTAGATGGATGGACGAGCTCACAGCCCACCTGATGTTAAGTGGTTACTGGAGCCCATAGACATCTACAACGTAAATGCGCCACCCACCTCAAGATATAAGTTCTAAAGTCTCAGTATAGTCACAACGGCTACCCCACCCTTCGAACCGAAACGCATTACTGCTTCACGGCGGAAATAGGCAGGGTGGTGGTACCTACCCGTGCGGACTCCCAAGAGGTCCTACCACTAGTGATGACGCAAATTATAATTTTGCAGGTTTGATTTTTATTACACGATGTTATTCCTTCACCGTGGAAGTCAATCGTGAACATTTGTTGAGTACGTATTTCATTAGTAAAATTGGTACCCGCCTGCGGGACTCGAACACCGGTGCATCGCTTCATACGAATGCACCGGACGTCTTATCCTTTAGGCCACGACGACTTCTGAATTCTGTTATACTAATTTTGGTAAAGTTTTGTTATAGACCAGAAGCTTGCATATTGCATGTCCAATGATTCTATAACTGACGAACAAAAGCAGAACCAATAGTACTACTAGCCTCATGATTTATTAGCCTTACATTAAATGATGAATTATTTAAATATTATTGAATTCTTTTAAAACTATTCTCTTGGCGGTCCACGGTACGCGGAGCATTCTTCGCCAACACCACACTTCGAACGCTAGTACAACAACAAGGTAGAACAAGGTAGAAGGGAAAAGACCCGCCGGCCGGCCACCAAACCGTTGGTCGGATCAGATAACTGCGCTCAATGGACTCTCTGTTACCAACGCCCTGAGAGAAGCCGAAAACCGAAGCAAATGGAAGCTGAGGGTACAAAGAGCCACGAAGGGCTTTCAAGGACACGACCTTCAGCAATGAAGTATTCGACTAAGAAGAAGAAGAAAACTATTCGTTGCTAGATTTTTTTTTCTTTAACCAATGAAAATGTCACTATGAATAGTGCAATTCCATACAATGTAGAGTGTAGTTTGAATTTTATCCATAATATTTTTAACAATTCGTTAGTAATTCACTTGTATCTAGAAATTTTTATTCAGTTCTCATTTAGATAGAAGAGACGAATTGTCTGCGCAACGAAATATGTTAATACGATGAAATAACTTAGACGAGATAGGAAATAGTTCATTATGCATTTTCTCATATCAACATCATGAATATAAACGACTGCTTATTTATGTAGAAGCTGAATTATTTAGGACGTACTTTTATTGCTAAAGCAAAGAGGAAAGAATTCGAAGCATTTTTAACGTTTTTATTGCTTAGATGGGTGGACGAGCTCACAGCGCACCTGGCGTTAAGTGGTTACTGGAGCCCATAGACATCCACAACGTAAATGCGCCACCCACCTTGAGATACAAGTTCTAAGGTCTCGTGTATAGCTACAACGGCTGCCCCACCCTTCAAACGAAACGCATTACTGCTTCACGGCAGAAATAGGCAGGGTGGTGGTACCCATCCGCGCGGACTCACAAGAGGTCCTACCACCAGTAAAAACCGTTTCACACATAACGCACATAACTGGGATTTGCTGCGATATTATAGATACCAGAAACGAACAAATATACTTAAAGATTAAACAAAAACAATACGTGTTAAGTAATATACATTAGGGTGTGTGTGTGTGCGAATTTTCTTCTCTTGATTTCTCGCAGGTTCGAGAATGACCAGCCATTTCTCCGTGTACCCAACGAAACTTGAGATAATGGGCGACAACCACACTGACATCAACTAATTCAACTTCGAAACATTACAGCGGAATTGTTGTTGTTTCAACAAAATTCTAACCGCTTTTTAAATGTAAAAAACATCTACGAATGTTTTCTTTGCTTTTTTTTGTGACCCGTAGTCATTATTAAATCTAACTTCAAGGTTTATTCTCTCGTTTACAATTCTATTACTATTTCATTTAATCAAAAAACTTTAAATATTAAACGTGAATTGAAACAGTAAAAGTAATTATGCTATCAACTAGCTTTTAAAAAAAAGGAACAAATAATTGCCCCCACATAGATTCTATGGGTCCAATCTCATGCCTTTATTGGAGTTGTATCAGAGTTCATTTTCAAATTCAAGGAGCCCGAACTGGATGAGAACCAATAGATTTGGATTGAACTTCAACCTCATGTGTCAACGTTGCGAATGGATTCAGAATGCGCAGTCTATGAGCACTGATAAAATGAGGTAGGTAGTGAGCTTGTGTGTCCAACTAAAATAGTGAACGATATTTAGTATTAGTACCCCTATAACATGAAAATGTTTAGACACTAATCAAAAATGTTTAGCCACTATTCAAATATGTTTAGTGACTACTCAAAAATGTTTAGCCACTATTCAAATATGTTTAGTGACTACTCAAAAATGTTTAGCCAATACTCAAAAATGTTTTGCCACTACTCAAAAATGTTTAACACTAATTAAAAATGTTTGGCCTCTACTCAAAACATCCGCACAACACTCGCTAATCCGTTCCATTTTAAGTACTTATTTAGGGTAAAAAATTACTGTAGTTAAAACATTACGGCCTCCTGTGGCAAATTGAAATAATTAAAAGTTGATAGATGTCCCATTTATTGTGTTCCCACTGCTACGAATGCTCTTTTAATTATTTAATATTTTCTTAATCTTCTTGTCTCTTGACTTGGAAATGATTTTTTAGATTTGTATACACATTGTTTAAACATGCGATTAAGTCAAGATAACTATTTAATAGCAATACTAGGTACTAAAGTGTCTTTCAGTGTTACTTATTAATAATAATTTTTTATCTACGAAAATGTAAAAACGTTGTAGGGTACGGTGTGAGTTTGTTATTTAAAGATTATGTAGCTTAAATTTTTTTATTGTTAATTTATTAAGTAAATCAAAGAAATGTTAATGTTATGAATGCACCCGGGTGATGCGGTTGTTCATCGTGCCTACTACGATTTGTGGAAATAAAGTTAACGCGTCACGCGAATTATGCTGACAAAGGTGTTCGGTAATATATCAACGAACAAACGTGACAACAACAAAACAACAACATCGACCCGCAAAATTATAATTTGCGTAATTACTGGTGGTAGCACCTCTTGTAAGTCCGCAAGGGTAGGTACCACCACCCTGCCTATTTCTGCCGTGAAGCAGTAATGCGTTTCGGTTTGAAGGGTAGGGCAGCCGTTGTAACTATACTTGAGACCTTCGAACTTATATCTCAAGGTGAGTGGCGCATTTACGTTGTAGATGTCTATGGGCTCCAGTAACCACTTAACACCAGGTGGGCTGTGAGACCGTCCACGCATCTAAGCAATAAATAAATAAAAACGTTTTAGATACATTTAAAGTCTGATAAGCACGAGCCTCGTTCGTAAGCAGAGCACCCTAACAAAACAAAGATGAGGAATGGTAAAAGCAATCATGCGATGTTGGGCAGACGTGCGAACTGCCGTACACGAGTGCTCGTCGACTCCGGAAATATGGAAAGGCGTGAAGGCACGTGTATAGCGCAGACGGAACGTTCCGAATACAAAGCTTTACTCGTGATCCAGTTATATATGAGTCGACTATTATCAAAGCCGGCAATGTGACTTTTAGACAATTATTGGTAAATCAGAAAAACGAATTATTGACTTTGTATTCCATTGGCAGTCACAAAACTCTTCTGAACGACATCTTAGATAAATAACAGGTTAAGTATTAACCTTTATTTAATGCAGGTTTTGAACCGTATTCTTTGAAGGAGACGATTATATTCAAATCAATCTGTATTGACATATCAATAACATTTTTTTGTCCAAATGCACAGATTGCCACCCTTGATAATAGACGACTCATATACTCTGATAAAGTATTGTCATCGTTTACCACAGAATATATATATCGGCGCAAATATGACGATTCACCTACTTATTATAATAATAATAATGATTGACAATGATGACGTGTATCAAGCTCTATAAAAACGGCCGTGCTGTCTAGCGCTTGGCCACCACTTCGAGCATCCCACTCCCTAATAGGCGCGTTAACATCTCCGCCGCTAGCCCCATCACTCTCTTTGGCCAGCCCATACCGTGGGCCTCGAAGGTCAAATACCTAGGCGTCACCCTAGATGGAGGGATGACATTCCGTCCCCATATCAAAACGTTACGCGACCGTGCCGCCTTCATATTAGGACGTCTCTACCCTATGCTTTGCAAACGAAGCAAACTGTCCCTCCGTAATAAGGTAACTCTCTACAAAACTTGCATACGCCCCGTCATGACGTATGCAAGCGTAGTGTTCGCTCACGCGGCCCGCACTAACTTGAAATCCCTTCAGGTTATTCAATCCCAATTTGCAGGTTAGACGGTGGAGCACTATGGTTCCTCAGGAACGTGGATCTCCATGATGACCTGGAACTTGACTCAGTCAATAAGTATCTACAGTCGGCATCATTGCGCCACTTTGAGAAGGCGGCACGACATGAGAACCGTCTTGTCGTGGCCGCTGGAAACTACATACCCGATCCTGTAGACCGAATGGTAAACAGTCGACGTCGCGCAAAACACGTCATTACGGATCCTCCCGATCCATTAACGGTGCTATTAGGTACCACAAGCACCGGTCACCGTCCTCGTCGAACCCGTCGCTTGCGACGAAGGGCTCGACAAGCGAATTAACCCACAGACACAGCCCACTGAGTTTCTCGCCGGATCTTCTCAGTGGGTCGCGTTTCCGATCCGGTGGTAGATTCTGCGAAGCACTGCTCTTGCTAGGGCCAGTGTTAGCAACACTCCGGCTTGAGCCCCGTGAGCTCACCTACACGTTAGGGTAAAGCTGAAATAGCCTCTCAAGGCTACCAGCATAGTTAGGGAAAAAAGAAAAAAAAGCGCTTGGTCATTCGTGCCTGAGCCGTAGTACAGTACGGATCTCTCTGGGACGTTGTTACGCTACTCGTGAAATATACGAAGCTCACCAAGTTCTCGTGAAGTTTTGTTTCAGAAACCCAAACGTGAGTCATCATCAAGAAATTATGTTAAACATTACGGAGGTTTCTCCTCCGTTATATATAATAACCGACGAAAGAGTATTTATTTTCCTGACGTTTTCAAGACATTTCGGATAGCAGAATCGTAGCTATCACGATTTGAAAGAAAACGCTGTCGTATCTACTTAATCTTCATAATCTTTTTGAATATTTGAATTATTTTGTAGCACCTTTATTCAAAATATTTAAAAAAATGTCTTAATAGAAAGATTGGCTTTACTGATAAAAGTATTATAGGGCATTATTTTTGAACAAACGAAGGAAGGGAGGAACTAGGAGCGTGAAGTTGTGTGAATTTATTTATTTTGTTAATTTAGTGCTTCTTCAGATGTGTCATTCTTTAAATGTGTAATAACGGCGGTTTATCAACTGTTTAGAATCTCTGAAAGTGCACAAATGTGGGAAAATGAAACAAAGCCGGTGAACGTAGCTTCTGGGATTCTTCCAAAAACTCAACTGAAAAAGACTCAGTAAATAACCACATATAACATAATATCTTTGTATGTATGTATGTATGTATGTATGCATAATCATTGCAGATATGTTTAGAATCTCTGAAAGTGCACAAATGTGGGAAAATGAAACAAAGCCGGTGAACGTAGCTTCTGGGATTCTTCCAAAAACTCAACTGAAAAAGACTCAGTAAATAACCACATATAACATAATATCTTTGTATGTATGTATGTATGTATGTATGCATAATCATTGCAGATATTATAAACTCGACACCGACAATAATAGCTTCGCAAGAAACTAATTGCCATACGTAAAAAAGAAGAAAAGTATTCTTATTTATTACTGGGCGAGTATCGAGTGATCGATAGATTGAGAGATTGAGATTCTGTTTATATATTTCTATATCTCTCTGGTTTCGCTTTTAACATTTTAAAAAAAAAATACATACCTACTACATATTTTCATAATTTTTTTTAAACGAAAAGGAACATCGCTCGACAATAAAATGAGAAAATTGTTCTTAGCTTTCCCTTTAATCATATAAGGATTACAACAATTTATTGACATTTTTACATATTATTATATTTCAATGAAATACACGTACACATGTTCTTATCATGACGAATTTAATTTTCAATTACATAGCATAACAATAAACAAGAAGATATTGTTGTTAACTAAATCCTCGGCCGAGGCAAAGTAGAAGAGTTTTCATAGAAAATCATCTTAACGGCACTTACTTGCGTAATACCCATTGTTAGCTAAATCCTCTGCCGAAGCAGGATTTTACGGGGGGAACGCGAGGAGTGAAGTTGTGCGATTTGTTTTATTTTGTCTATTTAGTGTTTCTTCAGGTTTAAATGTGTAATAATGGTGGTTTATTAACTGTTTAATATCAGTAAAGGTGCACAAATATGGGAAAATGAAACAAAGCCGCTGAACGTAACTTCTCGGGATCCTCCAAAAAGTCCACTGAAAAAATCTCAGTAAATGACCACCATTTTACTGAGATTATATTTCATCCCATAATATCTCATTTAATTACATTTAATTTCATCCCAGTTGATTAATGTCTTACGGGAGCTCCAAGTGTTGGACTGGCAAGGTGTTGCGCAGCGCCGGGATGAATGGCAAAGTTTATTGTCGGAGGCCAAGACCCACTACGGGGCGTCATAGCGACAGCCAGCAACAGCAGCAGCAGTGATTAATGTCTCAAATTAATAATCTTCATTTCATTTCTCTCCATTTTATCATTTTTCATAAAAATAAGAATGTAAATTAAAATAAGACATGGCCTTAAAGGTCTTCGTTACCAGGTCATAAAATCCCATTAAAAAAAAAACTGCCGAGGCAATTTAGAAATCTTTTCATAGAAAATCATCTTATCGGCACTTACTTGCGTAATACCCAACGTCGTTATTAACGTTGATGTGTCCAGCGTCCTCGGCGGCCAGCATGTGCGTGTCCCAGACGGATCTGTACTCGGGGTCGTGCAGCACGTCGTACAACGCGTCCGGTTCCACGTCCCCAAACTCCGCCACCACCTAACACAACATTGAGCTCGTTTAAACAAGTCTAGAAATTTAGTTTATAACACGTAAACCCTAAGCCACCCTAACCCTAAATCAAGAGGCGGATTATCCGTAAGGCAAACTAGGCACGTGCCTAGAGGCGCGTAGTTAGTTACAAGGGGGGTGCGAGCTCAGAATTTTTTAATAATTAAAGAAAATAACATATCGACGATTAAGAACTAAATGCTGATCTATAATCTAAATCTTCTGTCGTCCCTCTTGAGTTCTTCAGTTATAAAGTCATATTTCATTCGCGCATTAGCGTAAGTACAAGGGTCTTGGTCTATTACAGTCTAGGGTTTGATGGTACAACGTCATCGTAATTGCAAAAACAACTATAAATATAATTATATAGTTAAAATTTATAGTATTATTATGGCCATTTATGGCCGGTACAGGGGTACCGATAAAGTGATTGCCTAGGGCGCTCTGGACCTTTAATCCGCCACTGCCTAATTCAATCTCTAACTGGCGTCATCTAGGCGAGCTTCGGATAGCCTGCCGACCGAGAGGGCTGGTGGTTGTGGCGCCGACGACCACCAGTCCGGCGTCCCGAGGGAGAGGGCGATGGGAGAGATGTGCCCGCACTAAACACTTCACTTTCCCCCCTTTGCCTTTTCATGAGTTCTGTCTCATGCGAGGTTTGGACGTTGGTTGTTGAGCAACAGGAGGCTTTAGTCGGTTCGAGTCCGGCGATTTCCTCCTGACCAAAAAAAACAACCCTAAATCGTTTTAAATCAAATAGTTTTAAATCAATTGGTCTTAAAGAATTGACCATTTATTATTATATTATTATACCACTTATTATATTACACTATTATATTACATTGTGTATTTGCATGTATATTTATAGATATATGTATATGTATGGTATGTATGTGTGTATGTGTATGTATATATTTCACTGGATTGGTAAACCGCGCGTAATTCGTTTCCAAATTATTCTTATCCACCTGATGGTTGTCTGGAAGAGATCGCTCTTAGCGATAAGACCGCCAATTGTACTTTTTTTGTATTTAATGTATCGCATTGTTTGTTTATTTTTTTGTTTATTTCGTTTTTCTCTCTCTCTCTCTCCCTCCCCCTCTCTCTCTCCCTCTCTCTAATTTTCGTTTTCCAGAGCAGTTCGATTACAAGAGTGTAATTAAACAAGGATTTGGGTTAGAATCTATTGTCCATGCCCTGTATCATACAGGTTTTGCATAATAGAACTACGAAATTCAGCATTAAATTATCGTGAGCGGCATTTAAATGAATGTAACATATTGTCCCTAACCGAAATGAAACGTGCCCCTTGAGTTTGTCGCAGTCTGATGTGAAACGGCTAAAGTAAATAAAAATACTAGGCGCGCTGATAACCGTTGTTATATTTTGTTATAATGTTTTTTGGAGTATATTTAAGTACAATATGAGGGTAGATAGAACACTTTTCGGAAATATCGCTTAGTAAAATATGTATAAAATTATAAAGTAAGGTTTTCTTTTCCATCGAAGAATGGGGCTTGGTTTTAGGCGAATTAGGGAGTTCTACCCAGGAACGAAGATTTTCCATCAACTGCCCTCGAACCCTCGAAGAATTCTTGAAATCCATAATAACGAAGCAAGTCGTAATTGTCAATACTTACTAATACTAATTAATTAATTTACGGCTGAAGGGCGCATCGATCGTTGATACGTTGACTTATCACAGAGGACTTCACTATTCCATTGAAAGCTCCGTGAGTGTTGCCTTACTTAAACAATTGTGTTATCGTCATGGCCAACCTTCATAATATTACACTTATTATTTAGTAGCTACACTTCAATAGACATACAGTAGAAGCTTGTCATATCTAAAGTCGTCGGGGAAACTTAAAGTACTATGATTTTTTTCATCGTGTTCATTATGACAGATAAAGATGTTTTTTTCTATTTTTTAAGCCCCGTTAAGCCCGTTAAGCCCCGTTAACCTGAACATTTCCACACGCATCAACAACCGATGGATATACAAGAATTTTATTAATTTAGTTCTATTAAACTAACCAGTATCAACATCAAAATAACATGAAATTTATTAATTAAAATAATCTGGACTGATCTGGTAGTAATAGGTAAATAGAGGCAGCAAATTTTAACTTACAACAAGCTCGCTAATCAAGAAAAAAATCTAACGGAAGACCTTAAGAAGGACTAACCTACTGACCAACATCGTTTAAAAAGTATATTTGGCAGGAACATGAAAACTACAATAGTAGGTACTTACGGTGGCCCACCATATTGCCTAATAACAATAAAATATATATAATACATATATAGGTAGATATTAACATTTTGTTAATTTTCAAACTGCACAAAAGTATAGTAATAAAACAGAGTTACTGGACCTGGTTTCTCGGATTTCCATTCTAATAAACAATGGAAATATAAGAAGTCGGTTGCCATACTGGAAAAATTGAAAATTCGATAAAAAAAAATTCATAATTTTGTATTAGATACGTAAATAAGTTACGGAAGTTGCCAGTCTCGCCGCTAACACCAAATAATATAATCTATCTCTAATCTTTTCTTCTAAAAGTCAGCTTAGAAAGTAATGGTGTCGAGTGCTCACGACTTACGAACGTGATAAAAACATTATCGTTTGTTTTCAGTGTGCTTAGTAAAAGTTAACTCAAATTTGTATGGAGTTAGAATGTTTGCCTACATTTACCGCTAGGGGCGCTGTTCCAACTGCATACTAATTTGAGTTAACTTTTCCGCTATCGAGAACGTTAAAAACTCGCACTAAACACAAAGGGCCGCTTGCTCATGAAATCAATATTAAAGAACTTCTTCTACTTCTTCTTGCCCTTATCCCACTATGTGGGGCTGGCACAGAACATCCTCTTTTTCCATTCAAAATAAAAAAATACTAAACTATCGATCCAAAAAAACTTTTCTGAATGACTCGAAAGAGCTATCCTAAAAGTTACCGACCCTAGTTACGAACTCAGCCGAAGAATACTTCTTTGGGAAGTTTAATTGATGATCTCTCTGTACTAGTTACAACATCCAGAACACTTTTACTTTATTGTGTCCCTCTAGAGTTTAATTGGATCCGAAGAGGAACTTTATCACTCTTGATCGACTCAAGAAGAGACAATAAATTCGCGGACTGAGATACTGTAGAGATTAGTTTATACTCATTAAATTTTTTCCAGTGCTACCAAGAACTTTAAATTTGATATAAATTCTAGGGGGTTTTCTAGAACAAGTGATAATAAGTCGCCCGTAATGAGATCTCCAAGGTCGCCGACGGTCTAGTGTTATTCCTCGGTGCTTGCATAAACGTGTAGGTAAGGATTTCTCCTATTTATTGATAGGTATCGGTACAGGCAATATTATTATAAAAATGTATATGTAGAATAGGGATCGCAGCGCATAAAATAAAACTTCCATTATTCCAAAATCTTCTGTTATAATATTAATTAAAAATTAATTAACCCTTTTATTACCTACGCCTTGCTCATTTTTTAACCGTCGCCATCTTCCTTTCCTATGTCATTCTGTCTGTCATTCTCTTTTCCCTTTCATACCGTTTTCTCTCACTCACGTCTTACACTCTTTTCATACGTACCGATCTTACCAATCCTAAATATGTATAAATTTAATAATATATGTATAAAAGTCGATATACTGTATAAACTCCCAAACGCTAGGCGGATGTCGATGATATTTTCAAAAAGTCTTCAGATTGGCCTAGTCAATGATCCTGAGAAGTTTTGTAACGATCGGATCAAATTCAAATCAAAGATCGGCTTGCAAAGCGGGCTGGGCTTGACTGGTGTTCAAATATATATTGGTGTATCTACGACATACAGTATACATAATATATATGTATATGTACTTATGTCGTAGATCGGCAATAAAATGTCGTAGGTGGACAAAACTGCAGAGTAAGCACGATAAGGATAATAATAAATAACATGCCATCTGATTAATAATTACGCAAATTCATAAATTTTGCGAGTTTGCTTCCTGATTATTAAATCCTTGTTGGAAATTTCATTTTTATTTGAGGCCGATAGATTATCTGCCGGTAGTGCAACTATTAATTTTTCATCGGTCACATATTCCAGCAACACGAATTTTTTTTTAATCATAAAACAAGATCACGTTTTTTATCTTTTGTTTTTAGTTTGTGGTCTGTTTATGTGCAATACGTGAGTTAAAGTAAATAGCATCCACTCTTCTCTCTACACAAATAGATAAGCGTAAACTGTGCTTACTCAATGGCGGAACTGTTTCAATTTGGATGTCATTTCCATGAATGTATTTAGAGATTGGAGTGACTTCTACTGTTTGTGTTATTTAATTTAGTGAAAAAGTTAGATTAAAAATATGTGCAAGAATAATAATTACCGTATCTACATAAAAAATTGACAGTCGAGTTTATTTGCTGCCATTACAATCAGATTCCAGTGAAGATTGATATGGTTCGCAATGTATTCGAAAGCAGTAATAGAGGCAGATGCTTTTGTTCTCTTAATTATCTTGTAGCCTTTTTTATTGTTTAGATGGGTGTACGAACTCACAGCCCACCTGGTGTTAAGTGGTTACTGGAGCCCATAGACATCTACAACTGAAATACGCCACCCATCTTGAGAATAAGTTCTAAGGTCTCAGTATAGTTACAACGGCTGTCCCACCCTTCAAACCGATACGCATTACTGCTTCACGGCAGAAATAGGCGGGTTGGTGGCACCTACCCGTACGAACTCACAAGAGGTCCTACCACCAGTAATTACGCAAATTATAAATTTGCTGGTTTGATTTTTATTACACCATGTTATTCCTTCACCGTGAAAGTCAATCGTGAACATTTGTCAAGTACGTATTTCATTAGAAAAATTGGTACCCGCCTGCGGGATTCGAACACCGTTGCATCGCTAGATACGAATGCACTGGACGACTTATCCTTAAGGCCACGACGACTTGACCTGATTGCCTGTATGCCT